CGAACAATTATTCAACATATTGGGAAATATACAAGCTGGAAATTGAGGTTTCAATTCTGATGATTTAAACAACATGATGAATGGGGCCGTGAATTTGGCAGGTATACTTGCTTGTTATTCCTCTATAAAAGACATAGGTCATCTTTCTTGTGAATGTGTTAAGCTAACTGCTGGCTCTTGGATAATAGATTCAGGAGCATCACATCATATGACTTATGATAGAACCACTCTCACAAATATTAGAACACTTCCATATCCTTTCTTAATATCACTTCCAAATGGTTACAAGGTTAAAGTGACTCAAGTTGGTGATGCTTGTTTAAATCCAGTGTTAACTCTAAGAAAAGTGCTATTTGTACCCAGCTTCAAGTTTAATCTCATTTCTGTTCATTGTTTAGCACTACAACTTAATGGAGTCATCAGTTTTGATAAATCTTCTTGTTTATTGCAGGGCCCTTCTCTGAAGAGCCCTCTGGAGCTTGGTAAGGCCAAGAATGACCTATATTTCTTGTGTCAAAAGTGTCACAACTGCTGCAAGTCTGCTGAAGAAAAGTCATCTCACTCTAAATGTCATCTTGTCTCAAAGTTTCACAATGTATCTTCGGTAAGACAATCTCAAATTTCTATTGCAAATAAAGCAGCTTGTAAGACTGTGTCTTCTTCTCATCCTAATAATAAGTGTCTTTCACTTACTGATGTCTATAGTCACACATACAATGATGATGAACTTCTATGGCATGCTAGATTAGGACATGTACCTTTTGTAAAGATGAGAAATATAACATCCATACCTGTAAACTTTTCTCCTAAACAACCTTTTACATGCAACATATGCCCTATGGCTAGGCAAACTAGGATGCCATTTCCAGAAAGTACATCTATCACTACCAAAATTTTTGAACTATTACATGTTGATTTATGGGGACCATATCATATTCCTACTCATGATGGTTACCATTATTTTCTCACCATGGTTGATGACTACAGTAGGTCCACTTGGACACAACTACTAAGATGCAAAAGTAATGCCCTTCAAACCATTAAAGCCTTTGTGTCCCTCATAGAAAACCAGTTTCAAACCAAGGTAAAAACCATCAGATCAGACAGTGGCTTAGAATTTACCTCATCTGAAGCTGTACATTTTTTTCAAACCAAAGGCATTATACACCAAAAGACATGTCCATATACACCCCAACAAAATGGGGTGGTAGAGAGGAAACATAAATACTTACTTGAAACAGCAAGAGCACTATTGTTTCAATCAAAGTTGCCTTTGAGATACTGGGGAGAGTGTGTTTTGACTGCCACATACATAATAAACAGACTACCAACTAAACTCCTTCAAAACAAATCTCCATATGAGATATTATACCTTAAGCAGCCTATTTATTCTCATCTAAAGAGTTTTGGTTGTCTTTGTTTTCCAACTGTTTTTAAAAATTCACAAGGACAAATTTGAACCAAGAGCCATTCCTCATATTTCATTCAATACAAAAGGATACAAAGTCTTAAATCTAGCTACAAAGAATGTTCATATATCCAGAGATATTGTCTTTCACGAAAAAATGTTTCCTTTTGTTCATGTTCCTGATAATGACTCTAGCTTCAATTCTGTCTTAAAGATGCTTACTCATTCTGCTAACATACCTTGTATGCCTGGAAATACAAACATATTTGCTACTGATGAAATGCTGGACAATCTAACACCACATGAAGTCACTGAAAATCAAGTAACCAATATCACTAACATACATGAAACAACATCTGCTGATTCTACAACACAAGAGCCTAGAAGAACTTCCAGAACAATAAATACTCCTAGTTATCTAAAGGATTATACATATACTCTACCTAAAGTACATTCCCTCAATACTTTTGTCTCTCACAATAACCATGTATGCTTCAATAGTCTTTGTTCTGATAGCCAGCAGCTAGTCACAGCTATTTCACATGAATGTGAACCTAACACCTTTGAAGAGGCAATACTGCACCCTGCTTGGCAGCAAGCCATGACACATGAGTTTGAAGCTTTACATGCTAATAATACTTGGGAAATGGTCATGTTACCTGATGGAAAAAGGGCTATTGGCTGCAAATGGGTATACAAGATAAAGCATAAGGCTGATGGAAGTATAGAAAGGTTCAAGGCAAGGCTGGTAGTAAAAGGCTATACACAACAAGCTGGAGTAGATTACACTTAGACCTTTTCACCTGTAGTAAAGATGACTACTGTGAGAACACTGATCTCATTGGTTGTTAAGAAAGGCTGGAACTTGTATCAACTAGATGTGAATAATGCATTTTTGCATGGTGATTTACATGACGAAGTTTACATGGTACCTCCACAAGGTCTTACAACAAGATGTGATAACATGGTATGCAAGTTAAAGAAATCTTTATATTGACTAAAGCAGGCAAGTAGGCAATGGTATGAGAAGCTAGCAGACAGTCTGTGTTCAAGGGGATATCAGCATTCAGACAGTGACTATTCCTTATTTTACAAGAAGAATGGTAGTTCCTTGGTATTTGTTGCTATATACGTGGATGATATAATCATGACTGGGAATAATGTTGATGAAATCAATTCCTTAAAGTGTTTCCTGCATGACCAATTCAAAATAAAGGACTGGGGAAACTACATTACTTCTTAGGCCTGGAGATATTGTACAGACATGATGGTGTTATTGTTTCTCAGAGGAAGTTCACTTTTCTGATCTTCTAAGAGATTTTGATATGTTGAGTTGCAAAACTACTTCATCACCACTTGATTCCACTGAAAAATTGAAGGCCACAGATGGTGAATTATTGACTGAACCTTCTCAATATAGGAAGTTGATTGGCAAACTTAACTTCCTAACTAACACTAGAATGGACATATCCTATAGTGTACAACATTTGAGCCAGTTCATGCAATCACCCAGGGAACCACATTTGAAAGCAGCCTACCATGTACTTAGGTACTTGAAACAAGATCCAACTATGGGTATTTTTATTTCAAACAAGGCTGATCTTACTGTGAGTGCATACTGTGACTCTGATTGGGCTGCTTGCCCTGAATCAAGGAGATCTATTAGTGGTTACTTAGTTCTTATGGGAGATAGTCCTATCAGCTGGAAATCCAAGAAGCAGGCAACAGTATCACTGTCATCTGCTGAAACTGAATACAGGGCAATAAGACAGGTTGTGGGAGAGCTAGTATGGTTTGAGAGGTTGCTGAGTGAGTTGAATGTGCAGTGTTCTCTGCCAATACATGTTCATTGTGACAGCCAAGCAGCAGTTCACATTGCCAAGAACCCAATTTTTCATGAAAGAACAAAACATATTGAGATTGATTGCCATTTTGTAAGGACTAAGCTTCATCAAGGGTTGATCACACTTCATCACATATCCACAGATTCACAATTAGCTGACATCCTCACCAAAGCCTTAACTGGAGTTAAACACAATTCTTTGTTACACAAGTTGTCTGTGTTTGCATCACCTCCAACTTGAGGGGGGGGGGTGATGAGAATATACTTTCTGTTGGTAACAAACTTTCTGTTAGTAACAAATTAGTGGCTTTAGTTAGTTACAAGTTACAAGATATTAGTTATAAGTTCTTAGTTACAAGTCGTTATTTTCCAATAGTTAGTTAGAAGTTAGTTTTGCTATTCATCAAGTTTACATATATACTCATATTGTATTCATTTTAATTCAATACACAATCAATACAAAATACTCTTCTTCTTCTCTTAATCTGCTCTCAAGTTAAAGCTGCAAGATTAAGCTTTCAAGCTCACGTATGAGATCATCAATGGAGTTGAATTGATGGTGATAATCTCTTCACATAACTTAATTAGTCGTTTTATTTATTTTGTGAAATGAAAGCAAAGAGATAATTGATATTGTGTTGTTTAACAGAATCGTAGAGGCAACGACGACATGACTTAGTTGTACATTGTCTCGACTGTTGACAAGTTCCATTGCAATCAATCATCATGTTTTAAACATTAAGTTTCAATTTCGGTTCCGTTACACTTAGCCATGTTTCTCTCGTACCATTTCTTGAACACTCACCAAAATAAACTGCATGTACAATCCATTAAACAATGTCATATTTCGAATGTTTAAACATATGTACTAAAATATAAAAAAAAGTTATTTACCAGACATCATCACAAGCACAATAGTGAAATAGAAACCATAACTGCGAGCCATGACGTACAATAGAATAATTAGTGAATTAATTGCGGTGAAAGCCAGTGAATTTTTAGGCCTCTCCCCCAAACCTCCACACCCTAGTTTCTAACTAAGCTATTTAGAATAATTTCCGATATAAGTTTATTTTTCCATGTAATTTTCCCATGTATATACCTAACATAAAATAAGAAAAATATATATAAAAAAAATAGTAATGAATAGTTGGATAGAGTGGGGTATAATTTTATTTTTGTTAAAAAATAAAAATAATATCAATACTTTTTAAGGAAGGAGTAGGGGAGGGGTGAATTTCTACTAAAAGAATATTAGGATGGGGAGATTGGGGGAGAGGGGGGGGGGGGGCGAGGTGGAGGAAGGTAAGGGGGTAGGGCGTGTGGAGTGTGGTGAGAATATTTTAATTTTTTAAAATTTATTAATTTTAAAAATAATTCATCTTTTATAGTTAAATTTTAATTTTTAAATTTTAACTATTATTAATAGTTTATATAATAAAAGAGAGAGTTATTATATTTTTTCAAATTAATAAGTGATAGTTTATATATTAAATTTTTCTACCTAATAGTTTAGATATATATGAAACTCAAAAAATGATATAATTTAAACGTGCTTTGTGATACTTATCTCTATTTATAATAAATACTTTGTGTAAATCTCACGTTCATGAATATCTTTTATGTAAACTTATAATATGATAGAACTCTTGGAATTACTACTATATAGTGTGTGTGTATATATATAATTAATAGAAAACAAGATTTTGATTAAGCAAATAAAATGATCATAATATTTCATTCAAAATTACGAGTACAAATAGAAGTGCCAAGACAACCCCATCTTGATATTACATTGATCGCACATTGTCTTGATGAGCCATTTTATTATTCTACGATAAGAAAAATAAAGACAAATAACATCAATTTACTCGATATTATTTTTATTTGTGGTGACCATAGCCCATAATCCTTCAAGCATGGCAGCCGTAGGTAAGGTTAATAACATCATAGTAACAACGGGGACATGACCTAGAAAAGCAGTCAGAGCTCGACCTACAATATCCACCACAAAGTCCCATCATCTTTGCTCCATTAAGTACTTTAAACGGCTCCCTTGCACCAATCACTTTCACATTTGGACACTGCGCCATATAAACTATATATGTATATTCCATCCAAAAAAAAAAGAGTTAAGTATCAAAATCATCGACTCTGGTAGAGAAACACTTTTTTATGATCTAATTTGACTTAGTACGGAGTTTAACAAAACATAAAGGAGGTTTTTCTCAATTTTATAGTCCTAAAATTAAAATTATGTTATATGTATTAAAATGTTCTTTAATATTATAATTTTAAATATGACATGTACAAAAATAAAATTAAAGTGTTGCCACAAAAAAGTAAAGAAAGGTCCTTTTATTTTAAAAAAACAAAAGTAATAAATAAAAAGGGAGCTGGGAGGTGTAGAGAAAGGTCATTTACCAGAAATTACAATAAGTGCAAAGGTGAAATAGAAAGCATAATTGCGAGCCGTGACGTTGCTAAGAAGGAGAAAGATTTATACTTATAAATGAATAATTATGTGTTACTGATGAAGTGTAATATTTTTTCTTTCTCATTGAGGGCAATGAATTTATAGGCCTCTATACCCAATATTTTTGCTTATCTAATATACAAATTGTCATTTAACTAAGTTATATTGGTAGCAAGTTGAATTTAAAAACTAATGCTTCTGTCCATAATACCTTTCCATATAATAAATCTAATGCTTAGAATTTTAAAAAATTAAATTATCATATTTAAATTTTGAATCTATCTTTTGCTCTAGCTAGTATTCATACGAGTGGCTTGCTCGCAATATTCATAGTTTATATTATTTTGATATTTATCTCCGAATCAAATTACATAACACTTTAATTATATTGCTTCCATTTTAATATAAATGAATGATTTAAAGTTCGAACAAGTTAATCGGGTAATAATTTTAAAAGAGTAAATTGATCATATTTATGATTATATTTTGAATTATTTATACTTTCAAAAATATTTGAGAATATATAAAAGGGCTAAAGAGGAATATAGTATTTATTTTATGTCCTAAATTTCTTTTCTTAATTGGTGTCCATTGCATCAACAATTCACTTACTTTTAATTGCATGAAGGACTTTCTCTGTCCAACATAGTTGTCTATATTATTTTGAGATAACAATTATAGTTGTTCACTTTATAAAATTAATGAATAATTTTATACTTATTCTTAATTTACCCTTCTAATTAATTATAGTATTTCTCTAGTACATTTTTCGAGATGTTGTGTTTAATATATTCAAACTATGTCATAACAAGATTATATTTTATTTATAATTTCTTAAGAAATGTATGTCAAGTCAACAGTAAACAAGTATTTTACAACAGAAAATAATTAGTCCTAAAGAAAATATTACATAAATGAGGGGTCACTTTGTAAATACTGAAAGCTAATTTAGCGCAATGTAAGCACCTAGATATTTGTATAATTTAGGGGCAGATTTACCTTAGGCCAAGGCGTGTCACAGGACACGGCTTCATCGAAATAAAATGAAACATTACTAATTCGAAATAAAAGTAGTATGTATTAAATATTATATATATTTTAAAAAATATTATCTGACATTTAAAAAGAATTACAAATATTAGAGATCAAATTCATAGTTTTATATGAAAAATAATATGTTAATTACAAAATAATAGAAATGATAATCAAAAATAATAAAAAAGTTAAATAGAGAGTGTGAATAGTAGTACTCCAAATTACTATTCAACTCTAATAAAGAGTGATTGGAGAGCCAATTCTCTATTTTACTCTTCAAATATAGAATATGGGGAGTAAAATAAAGTGGGGTTGGAGATTGTCTCAAGTGATTGATCCCTCCATTTTTTTTCCACCTCCCATGCACCCCCGATGTCAAATTGAACCCCACTATCATTTTTTTCTTTTCTTTTTCTTCTTCTTTCTGATCAAATTCTTTATAGAATTCTTACTATTATTTAGACTTTGCTGAATTATTAATATATGACAAAATAAATTATTTTTTTAAGAAAATTTAAAATTTTGAAGGTATAATCAACTACTCATTTTCATATAAATTAAAAATTAAAAATGACAATTCTAAAAGAATCAATTAATTCCCGAAAATTGAAAGAACTTAATTGAAATCAAATATATGACACTTCTGATCATCTTGAAATCTAATGGGTTTATCAAATTGTTTGAAATGTAAGAAAATATTTAGATAAAGTTTTAAAATTAAAGAGAGTAAACTAATAGTGGTAAAAAAAAGTGAAGTTATGATAAAAATGGACACTAAAAGTAAGAAGTTTCAATGGATGGAAATGACAATGAATTTTTGAAGAAGATTGAGAAAAAAACAAAAAGAAAAAAGGGTTAAAAGAATAAGAAAATATATTTTATAATAAAATTATATTAGTCATTTTAGGTTGTTCATTCTCTTTTAGAGAGTACACACCACTCTCTATGTGAGGGGGATGTAAAATGATATAAACACATCTAAACTATTCTCTTTTTTTTTTAGTTTCATTGTCAAACTATTAAGAGTGCGAGTTTCATATCTAAACTTATCACTTTTTAGTTTGAGAAACACACCTCAGCGGTGTGTGTAAAACGATCTCTCTTTTATTTGAAAAAACCTTGACACATGACATTCCACATAGATAATATATTTTACCTAGATAAAAATTAAATAATAAAATATTAATATTTATTAAAAAGTAAAAAGTAAAGCATTACTATCCATATAAAAAATTAAATTATTTTTTTACCCTACTCCACATTCCCCCCCCCCCCCGACAACCCCCATCCTATTTTTTAAAAGAATCATTTATAAAATATTTTTAAAATTTTCATATTTCATCCTCCCCATCCCCCCACCCAAAAAAAAGACACCACTCATCCCCCCTGATAGAATTGATATTGTTTTATTTTTTAATAAAGGAAATTTGCCCTATCTTATTTAATCCTCCGTAAATATTTTTTATTTTTATTTTTACATTTTTTCATTTTGTGTTAGATATGCATGTACATATATTCTTAGAAAAAAGTTTCTACTAGTATACCAAATATAACATAAATAACTAAAAATTTAAAAAATGTCTTGTGGCGACAAGTAAAAAATATTTTCGATATATATATCTAAACAGTAGAAAATTTTTTGGAAGCGGAGGGTTAAATGGAATTGGTAGAATAATTTTTTTTAAAAAATAAAATAATATCAAAATTATTACTTGAGGAGGGAGAGCAGATGAAGTAAAAAAAATGAAATACTTTTATAAAAGAAATTTAAACAAAATAAAAAACTTAAAAAAATAGTGAGGGTGGGGTTGGAGGGGGGAGGGGAGAGAGAGAAAGAGGAAGTGATGGCATTGGGTAAGAAAAATATTTTATTTTTTATCTTATAAAGAAAATATTTTTTTTAATAATAGTTTTTAAACTTTTAATTTTAGCTAATACTAATAATTTATTTAATTTTTATATTACACATATCCCGATGAGAGTGGTATAAAAGAGAGGTGCGTTTTTCAAACTAACAAGTAAGAGTTTAGGTATTAAACTCAAACTCTCAATATTTAGGTATGAAACTTAAAAAAAAGGGTATAATTTAGTGTGTTCTTGACACTTATCTCTAATATTTATTCAAAATTATTTAGTGGGATAATATGACCATTGCAAAATTAAGCTGTCTATTTGAAAATGACATTAGGTCTTTTCTCTATAATATTCTAGTTTTTTAATATAACATTATAATTTTTTAAATTTATTTTCGTTGATATAACATTATAATTTTTTAAAACTTATTTTTGTTTATAAAAGTGATACTGCTAATAGAAAATTCTGTTTGTATATGTACCACCCATTTTCGACACTAGTACTATAAATCCAAAATAAAATAAATGAAATTTATGAGCAAACACATATTTAATCGTGATTAAAAATTTTCATAATAATATTCCTCCTTTCCTTTACTCACAAAAAAAAATCAATTTATACCCCCACTAGTCATTTAATAATATGAACAAGAGGGAGTATATATTGATGACATTTCCATTACAAACCACCATAATCCATAGATTATGGATCTTTATTCTTGATTAATGAAACAAAATAAAACAAGTTGCCATAGTAAATCAGGAGATCAACGTGGAAGATCCCTCGTCTAATGGGTTAAACTGAAGGAGGAATCAATATTATTTAATCAAATATTTTTCTTAGTACTAAATACTCTTTCGATTATTAGTCCATATTAAATGAATTATTTAGACTTTTTTTATATTTAAAGGAAATGAATTATATAAAATTGAATTTGTTATATTTTTTTTAGTATTAATGTCTTGTTTTGCTTAATTCTTCGTGTGTTTAATTTATCAAAAGGTAAAACTTACAAGATCATATAGCAAAAATGAGTTTATCTCTTATCAGGCAAAGAATCTTTTCTGCTATTAGTGAAACTTCTGAACTAGGAATGGTGCCTTATATTTTGAGTCAAACTAAACTATGCATATAATAAACAGAAAGAATATAACAATAAAAAAATCAAGGTGATGATTCTTTCAAAGTCTGACAATATTTCTTGAAAACATAAATAATAAAAAATTAATGTGATGATTTCCATAAAATCTGACAATATCTTTATTTATACGATTATAATATAAAATATCAAATAATGTTATATAACTTTTAATTATTTTAGAAATTAGAAACATAAAAGTTTTTAGTGTAATGAAAATAAATATAATTAAAGCTTATATTTAAAAAAAAGTTTGTTTGCATCTTATTTTTAGAACTGCAGAGAAAATCGCTAGACCTTAATTTTTTAAAACGAAGAATAAAGATAAATTCAATGCATAATCTCTGGAGTTTAAACTGGCATTCATTTTCGTAAGTTGATCACAATTCAATGGTTTACATTTTATTTTTTAAGTTAAACTAAACTATGCATATAATAAACAGAAGGAATATAACAACAACAAAAAAATCAAGGTGATGATTCTTACAAAGTCTGACAATATCTCTCGAAAACATAAACAATAAAAATATTAATGTGATGATTTCCATAAAATCTGACAATATCTTTATTTATACGACTATAATATAAAATAAATAATGTTATGTAACTTTTAATTATTTTAGAAATTAGAAAAATAAAAAAGTTGTTAGTTTAATGAAAATGAAGATAATTAAAGCTTTTATTTATTTAACTTTTTTAAAGAAAGAGAAAATGGCCAAAAGTCCCTCTAATTTATCGTTGGATTCTCAACTAGACACTCATATTTTAGGGCGTTCCTATGATCACCCTCTTAAACTGTTTTAAAATGAAATTGTTACCTCCTTAATTGTTTATCTGGCAAAGTGAATTATTTCACTCTTCTATTAGGAGATTTTTAATTATTTTCATAAACATATGTACTTTTAATTTATTTTTTTCTTTCTTCCCCAAAACAATATAGACCGCCACCATTCACAATCTTAAGCAGCTATCGTCGGAATCGAATTCATCATTATTATTTTCAAGCTCTCATATAAAATTCTTGCAAAATCAATTATATTCGCTACAAGTAAAATGTCAACCATCTTCAATCACTCCCAAAAGATTCAAATTGGATTTTTAAAAAATCAATCTGATTTCACATCAAATGTAATTGAATCCCAACAAGTTATTATCAATTTCAAATCTCTTGATTATAAAAAATAAAAAGAAGCAAAACATATATTTTCAAGACGTTGCACTGAGCTGTGAATGTAGCTAAATCATTCTAAGTCAAATTAAAGAAAAAGAAAGTTCTTTGCTGCTCTGAGTTTCAGAATGTAGGTGAATTGAACCAGGAAAATGAAAGATTATGTTGATTTGGTTACAATCAGGGGCGGCTCTATGCTTTGAAAACTAAGGTCTTTGCCTTAGGGGCTCCAAATTTTTATAAGGATTGAATTGTGTTAAAATTTTTATAGTAAAATTAATAATTTATGATAAAAAATAGAATTTTTCTAAAAATAAATTATTTTATCCACTTTAACATCATTTATACTTTGTTAAAAATAAGAATTAATAGTGAAAAGTATTGGACAAAGTGAATTACATATTCTTTTTTATTTCTTTTTAAATTTTAGTTCCAAGCATTACTATAAAACATATTAAAATAAGGTATACTAAGTCATCAACTTCTTGAGTCAAATTCTATGGTTCTTACTCTTATATTTATTTAATATTTATCAACTTATTACTTATAGCATTATGTTAACAATGCACATATGATTGCCTCACTTAAAGGATGCTTTTCAATGTTGAGTGGATAAAATCTATTTAACTAATAAAAAATAATATTAAGTACAAATAATTTCCATCTAAATAGTGTACAAAAAATTTATTTTAAATAAATACGTATATAAAGTATATTTATATTTTAGACCGCAAATTGAAATCTCGTTTTAGACCCCCAATTATGTTGAGCCGCCCTGGTTACAATATTTGTAAAATACTCCCAAGCACACCATCCACAATCACTAACCCGAGCATCTTCTCCCAATTAAGTTATTTTTTTCTTTGGTAGTGAAACCAAATTGATTTTTGACGGTGGCTTGAATACTTTTTTTTTTTTGAAACTTTATTCTTAGGAAGAGATGGTAAAGAGATTTTTGAATAGGTGAAAAATGTAATGTAAAAGGCAAGGGAGATGATAAAACGGAGGTGGAGGTGGGGCGGGGGGAAGAAGACCCCAATGCATTCACCAATATTTAACCTAAATCAATATTTGTAAAAAATAACGGCTAAAAAAATGGTTAAAGAAGAAAGGAGGAAGATGAAGGCCAAAAGAAAAACTTAAAAAATAATAATTAATTAGTTAAATACACGTGTCAAGTGTGTGTTCCACTACAAGACACATGTGGTTATGATATTTTAAGGGGTTATATATTTTACTTTTAAAATGTTTAAGGGTGATAAATTCTCGTAAAGTATGAGTGTATAGTTGAAAATACAACAATAGATTAAGAGACTTTTGATCATTTTCTCAAAAAAAAACCTTTTAGTTTCTTAACATTGTATTTAATATAATTCTATATTAGTGAGGAGAGCATATTTATGACAATAAAAAGAAGATATAAATAAAATATCTACTTTTTAAAAAATAAATAATAGAAACAAAAGGTATGATATTAAATTATAATAATAAGGATTATAGTTAAATAAGTTTTTTATTTTTAGAAAATTATAAAAATAGAAGGTGGAAAAAAGAGTTTTAAGGGATAATAATAAATTGTAATAATTATTAAGAAAGATAAAAAAAAATAGTAAATTATAGCAATGATGTGAAGAGATAAATAAAATATTTTAATATGTAATAGAATAAATGAACCATTAATTACAAATTAAACTTATCCCTTTTAATTATATTACATGAATCTTATCTTTCCTTTTCCTAATTTTCCATAGTTCTCTTTATTATTTTTTTCATTTTCGATTTTCTTCCATCACTCAAATCTTGGCATATTGCTTACTCCAATCTATCATTTATCTTTAATAGCCTCCTTACAATTTTATGATAAAATTCGCATGTTTAATTTTCTCTCTAAAATAATAAAAACTTCATCATTTTCAGCTACAATAAAAAATGATGAACATAGGAAAAAGTTATAAAAATATATCAAATTATTTTGTGGCATCTGTATATAAGATTTACAAATGTATTGATTTTCATGAAAATCCATTGACCACTTTATTATGCTCAGCCACAATTAACTATTCTGTTTATCATCATAATAAATGAAACTCTTTAATCAACTATCTTATTATGGTATAAGTGTAACATTCAATAAATATTCGATAATTTTATGTCTATATTATCGGTGTTTATACATTTTAAACAATAAATAAGTGTATTAATGATCTATCAGGATCAGAGGAGTATCAAATAGTAGCAATATTAACACTCGAAATTACAAAATTGACAATAATATTGACACTTAAAATTATAAAATTGGCTTCGATTCATATATAAGCCTTGGTTGCCTAATTATTTTTACTCTATCTATTTTATGAAAAGAGAAATGTAGAACATATGTTATGTTGTACGTGTCTATATAGTATTCAAAAGTTAGTGTTAATTTTTTTTTTCAAAATCTGTAATTAAGTTAAAAAAATAAATCTTCTTAAATTTTACAACTAAGAAAAATATTTTCATTGTCAAAAATTGATAACTAAAGCTTATATGTGTATGAGTTAATTGGAGGGGGGGGGGGATTGAATATTATGCTTTAATATTCAACATTAAATAATATGTTATGTCGTAAAATGAAGAAAAAGCTAAAAGAAATCTAAAAAAAAAAAGATAAATAGAAATCTAGTTCTAAGGGGCATGCCACATCAACAATTCTAAAATTCTCCTTTATATATATTAATGTTCAGCCGCGCGCAATTAACTATTCTAATTATCATCACAATAAAAAGATCTCTTCAATCAACTTTCTTACTATAATACAAGTGTAACATTCAGCAAATATTCGATAATTTCATGCCCATGTTACTAGTGTTTTTACGTCTTGAATGGTAAATGAGTGTGTTGATGATCTAACAGGATCAGAGGAATATCAAATAATAGCGGTATGAAATTATAAAATTGACAATAATATTGACACTTGAAACTACAAAATTGCCTTCAATTCATGTGTAGGCCTTGGTTGCCTGATTATTTTTACTCTTTCTGTTTTATGAAAAGAGAGATGTAGAATATATGTTATATATGTTGTATGTGTTTATATAATATTCAATGTTAAAAAACTTTTCAAAATCTGTAATTCAGTGTAAGAAATAAATCTTCTAATATTTTACAATTAAAAAAAATGCTTTTATCGTCAAAATTTGATATCTGAACTTTTTATGTGTATGAGTTAATGAGGGGAGGATTGAATGTTATGCATTAATATTCTACGAAAGCATTAAATAATATTTTATGTCTTAAAATGAAGAAAAAGCTAAAAGAAATCCACAAACACACACAAAAAAAAAGATAAATAGAAATTCATCTCTTAGAGGCATACCACATCAACATGTTTAAAATTCTCCTTCATAATATATTCATGCTCAGCCGCGCGCAATTAAATATTCTGAAAAAAGTTAACTATTCTGATTATCATCACAACAAAAGAACTTTTCGATCAACTTTCTTACTATGGTACAAGTATAACATTCAACAAATGTTCGGTAATTTCATGCCCATATTGCTAGTATTTTGTAATGACATTTAGGTCATTTTGAGAACTAGTGTCTCTCTTTCTTAAAAGACCTTTTCTGAAAATTTTAAATTATTTGCTTAATATGATTATTCAATTAATATACAATTTTAAATAATTAATTTAATTAATAATTAATGGCTCAAATTAATAAATCTTTTAATTTCTTACATTATGTGACCTGTGTAAAAAGATTAAATTAAGTGGGATGGATTTAACCTAATAAAGGATAGCGTCAAAAGTGTCGGCCAGAGAAGGACACATGAGTAGTTATTTTAATTGTTTTCATCATGAAACCGAAATGGTGGAAAATAAACCCAAGTCCAAGATAATTAATAGTAGTAGTCAAATCAAGAACTTTATATTTGTATATTAGCAAAGTTGAACATTAATTTTTATTTATACCAATTATAAAACATGTGTTTTGTGTATACTACGTATTTGTCTCAAGTGTTTACATATAATAATTTGGACCGAAGTACATACATCGATGATGACGGCAATAAGATTAATGTTTAGGATAAACATAGGTTTTTTTTCCCCAAAGGTATACGGAATATTCAAACAGTTGGCTGGTCATATACACAATCCAATGTGAAGGCTGCATTTGAGTTACATTTGACAAAACACAATTTGGTCAATTATGATAAGAGAAAAGTTATTCATAGTTGTATTTTAATATCTTTTATTTACTCTATAAATTGCTTAAGAGATTATAAGTTATAACATCCTCAAATTAATAATTACTTGCAAAACAGCAAATTCAAAGAAGCATACAATGGCCTTTTGCAAAGTTCGTATCCTTTCTCTCCTCCTATTGTCCGGTAAGACTTTAAAATCGGTTATTATAATTAATGACGTTGTTTGTCTTGATTTTTATTGACCGCTAAGGCAAAATATTGTTATTTAAAAAACTAACTGATATAAGAAAAGGAAAAAAAAGGTCATTTTTACCCTCTTTGTTAATTCTTGAACAGCAATTATACCCCTGCCATCTAATTTTGGAACCTCATCTACTACCCTCCACAAAAGATGCCATATATTTTAATAATATAGTATAATATAATCGATGACATGGCTATCCAACATGAAAAAAAAACTTGATTAGAGAATGATTATTATAGAAAGATTAATACAGATCCAACTTTCAAGCCAAAAAATGTACTTTTGTACGTTTTATTTTATATGTCATTTTCATTTATAAATAATTCGATCATAATATTTGTTATTTTTTATAAAGTTTATGTATAAGTTATCATATTTTATCTATTATATCCTTGATAGAATAGTTAATTAAACTTGTCATTTATTAATAAAGTTGACTTAAGAAAATTTACATAAGGGTAGAAGAGTAAAGTTACGTTATTTCATAATGCAAGTGTAAAGTAAAAAGATGACACCATGTTTATTGTGTTGATCAGTTGGGTGGTTTTTTTTATAGGTATATTCCTGTTGGGAATCGAGGTGGAATATGGAAATGCTCAAAAGATGTGTCTCCAGGTTTGTGACAATGAAGTTGCTTACATGACTTGCCCCTCTTCAGGAGATGAAAAAATAAGTGGAGTATGCGTCAATTGTTGCACAGCAGATGAAGGCTGCAAATTATACCGCGCTGATGGATCGTTAATTTGTACCGGAACCCCTCAATAATATGAAAAAATGTAACTGTTAAATTCATATTCGTGTGAAATAAGGCCTCAGTTATTTTACTCTGCCAGTTTATAATAATATTTTCATCCTATACCTATTTAATTTGTCTGAAATTTTAATAAAAATGAGAAGCTGATGCAAGCTTTTTCTTTGGTTGTAATGATATAAATTTTCAATTGGGCACTATCAACCTTTCATATTAGAAAATTTATAAAAATGTAAAAAAGAATTTATTAGACTTGTTTAACATCTTAGCATATGTTCATTAATGAAACCAGGGAGACATGAGCATTAATTATTAGAAGATTTAATTACTAAACCACCATAGATTATGGATCTTGATTATTTTTTAATTCCAACATAATGCAATCACTCTAAGAAAATGTTCTAATTTGATTTTGCTTTAGATTGAGACAATACCCTGTTTTCCATGAGTTTAGAAGCAAAATGGCTCAGAATCCCTTAAAATTTATTGGTTTTCTCATTATCTGTGGCATGTTTTTGACAATTCTATTGACTGCCTCAGTTATATTCACGGACTTACCTTCTGATAGCGTCAAGAATTTACCTAAAGCTAATATTGTTGATGTTAAACCTCCAAATGGTACTTCATTTCCCCTTTCTTTAGTTTTTGTTGTTGAAGTTATAGTTGATTCTACTCGATTCACAGTCATGTCTACCGCGATGTTTAAAGAAAAAACATTTTCCAGGTTGCTAATGCAATGAAGTGGATTCATTTGTTGTTCCACATCAATATAACAAGAGAAAGTTGAAGTACATTCTGTGTTTTTCCCTTCATTGTTGCATTAACCGGTGAAAATGTAGTATGTTGTCTGTGTGTAGCTTGTTCTTCAAGTTTGATTGTGGCTCTAACAGTTAAATAAGTGCTTGTGAATGTTACGTTTTATCGATAGGTCAATAGATGTTTTGTGCTGTTTAGAGTTGTTTTTGTTTAATTTCATTTTTGATATTTTCAGGCACAGTTAATTCTGAAGTAGAGAAAGATAAACTGCTTGGTGGCCTTCTTCCTTCAGGAATTGATGAAACATCTTGTCTAAGTAGATACGAATCCGCCTTATATCATAAAGAACTGTTTCACAAGCCATCATCTTACCTCATCTCAAGATTACGAGACTACGAGGCACTTCACAAGCAATGTGGTCCTCATACAAAATCATACAACAGGAGCGTCGAGCTTATCAAGTCTGGCCAATACAATGAATCAGCAGACTGTAATTACTTGGTTTGGATTTCCTTTAGTGGTTTAGGTAATAGGATGCTAACTTTAGCTTCTGCTTTCCTATATGCTCTTCTTACAAATCGAGTCCTACTCGTTGATCCTGGAGTTAACATGCCTGGTCTATTCTGTGAACCTTTTCAAGACGTTTCCTGGTTGATTCCTCCTGATTTCCCTCTATTCAATCAGTTTAGTACCTTTGATCAGAAATCTCCTCATTCCTATGGTTATATGGTGAAGCACGATGTCATTCGTAATTCATCGACTCTACCTCCCTACATCTACCTACATTTAGCTCATGACTATGATGATCAGGATAAATTATTTTTCTGTGATCAGGATCAAAGTTTTCTCAAGAAAATCCCCTGGCTAGTCATGAAGACAAATACCTATTTTGTGCTTTCTCTATTCTTGATCCCATCATTTGAGCAAGAATTGAGCAATCTTTTTCCCCACAAAGTAACCATCTTCTATTTTCTAAGTAGATATCTGTTTCATCCCACAAATTCTGTATGGGGGCTTGTAAAGAGGTACTATCAAGCTTATTTAGAACGAGCAGACGAAAAATTAGGCATTCAAATTAGAGTCTTGGAGACAGGTGTCGGTCCTTTTAAGTATGTACTGGATCAAATCATCGATTGTACAATGAAGGAGAATCTGCTGCCACAAGTTAACCGGTCCAGTGAGCCTATAGTCCTCAACCAGACCGAGAAGCAGAGGAAGACTATATCCGTCCTGATAACTTCTTTAAGCCCTGGATACTCAGAAGAGATCAGGAAAATGTATTGGGAGAATCCCACCGTTAGAGGAGAGATAGTTAGCGTTTATCAGCCAAGTCAGGAGGAATATCAGCAGAGTGAGAATCTGTTGCACGAACAGAAGGCGTTGGCAGAAATGTATCTACTGAGTTTAAGTGACAAATTGATTACAAGTGCATGGTCAACTTTCGGATATGTGGCTCAGGGTCTTGGAGGACTGAAGCCCTGGATACTATACAAGCCTAATGAGAACAGAACAGCACATAATCCGCCTTGTGTTCGAGCTGCATCATTCGAGCCATGTTTCCATGCCCCGCCTAACTATGATTGCAAAATGAAAACGCCAACAGACACGAGCAAAATCGTTCCTCATGTCAGGCACTGTGAGGATATGAGCTGGGGCTTAAAACTATTTGACTAAAATGGTGAATTATAGGGCTGTCAAAATGGTCCGCCCAACACGCCCATTGAACACCTTTAGTGAATTATAACATTTTTGGTGATCCAAAGTGTGAGTAGAGTAATTTTCTCTTCCTTTCTTCTTGTTGAAATATTAGTACAAAATTGCCAATCGCTTGAAAGCTTCATTCATTGATTCTCTTATTTGGGAATTGGGACCATTCTTAAAACAAAATAACATATCAAACTAATTAAACACAATTGATTTATTGATGAGGTCGCCAAAATCAGTTGAGCACTACTCCCTCCGTCCGGTATTGTTTGTCATAATTTCTATTTTTAGAGTTAAACTATAAAAAATTTGACTAATATTTTAAGATGTATTTTTTCATCATATTTGTAATTTATAGTACTTTTCATATAGTTTTAGAATATCTAATATTAATATAATCTAATTTACCTTTGAAAATTAGTCAAATTGACTTTCGATAAGCGTAACATGACAAATAATTCGTCCCGAAGTAATAACCAATAACATCGATTATTTATACTCACTCCAGCTCAAATTATTTGTCCTTATTTTTAAAAATAGTTCTCTTAAAATATTGATCATTTTAGAGTAATTATTCTTGAAGACTTCAAATACTGAGGTGTATGTTTGACATGACATTAAACAAACATTAGAGCATGTGATATTTCTCTATTAATTAAGATAAGTTATATATATATTGTGCTTACCTGTCACGCTATAAAAGTTTGAACCAAAGTTCTATTTTTTAATGAAAAAAATCTATTATATTATGGAGGAAAGAGGGAGAAAAATGGGGATAGTAAGATTCTCACATATACTATTCTTTATATACAATATAAGGTGCGGGGTTTAGTGAACAAACTTATGGGTTCAGGTATGTATTATTTGTAATAAGTATTTGAGATGTCAAGTGACTGTATTCGTACACGCATTTAGGTCACATCAACAAATACAATTTGGATAGTCAGAGTTTATTCTTTCATTCTAACTTATGGTATTTTTAGTCGTTCTAATTTTACTTGTTTCATTTGCTTTATTGTATCAATTGTTACCAATTTGTATCACACCTATATTCTATCAATGCATACAATCTTTATGAAACCAACTACAAAAGGTTGTGAAGTATAGTCATGAATTATAATTTTCTAAAAGTATAAGTACGAACAACATATACAATGTATATAGCTATAGCATGTAAAATTTCCATTTTTAGGACTTTATATGTTTGTTACAAAAAATACTACTAATCTGTGTAAATAATATAATTTGAGCCCAGTAAATTAAATGGGCTAGTTGTAATGGTCTTAATTAGCTCGACTTCACAATATTCAAATTCTATATTTTTGCCTATGGACTTATATACCAGAATTGATATTTGCCTGGTCAAGTTAGATTCCAAATTCTATCACTTGTATATTTCACTTGATATAATTTATTTTGGAACACTATAATAGTATCAGTGAATAATCAAAAATGAAATTTCCAACCATACCATAGGGTGTGTATTCGATATGAAGAAAAATATTTTTATTTTACACTAATTCTTTTTTTGTGTTCGATATGTAAGAAAAAAAGAAAAATTACCACAGCAGGTTGGTTATTATGTGCCGTTAAGCTGTTGTTGATAATCAGTTATCGCTAAAGATGATTTTTTAAGCAGTGAGTGTGGAGCGAAGATACGGTGCTGAAGTATGGAAATGACATATACTCAATGTAAGATGAAATTGTGAATTTTTTTTTTATTTTTTTTACTTTCATAAGATCTTTTCAATTTTTTTAATCAATTGAACATAAGAAAATTAAAAATTGGAAACCCACCGAACAGACCAATATAATAGTGCTAATCTGCTAGGTTCACACCCTTAGTACGAATAATTATTTGTTATTGTATGACAACTTAATTAATTGTTTATAAGTGGCATATTGGATCCTCCTCTTTGGCTTAATTACCAGAATCTATGGCTACCTTAACTATTCTACCTGATAACAAAGTAAGGGGCAAAAAAGCAATTTGTTCATTAATTAAGCAGGACCTAACATATATATTATTAAAGTAAGTATTATATCACATACACTGCCATGAAAATAATTTTTAGTGACAATATATTAATAACAATAATATAATCGTTGTTAAAAATATATTTTCAGCGGCTATTAACATTTTTTTTAAATATTCCTAAAACTTATAATGATATTGATCCAATGACAATTAAATTAATTAATATCAATAAAAGAGTTTATTATTATTATTTTAATATGTATATCCATTGCTATTAACAATTATTTTTATTATAATGATTTGTTGGAAATCATAGAGCAGGAAATAGTGGGCTAATCATCCAAGTCCAATGATATTATAGATGTATTCAAAATGCTCAACTTGTATTGGTGGAGTAACAGTTATCATTTCAGTACTATTTAATTGATTAGTTTATATTCTCATAATGCAAAATTCCAATCATATATATCAGTATTAACAACAATCAGATTAACCTAGTTAATTTAATAAATGCCCTCCCACATTGTCAGTCTCTTTTTAACTGGTCATTTAACTACAATAACAATATACCAAATAAAATATATCATAAGTAAAATTTGAAAAAAAAAATTGAGTATATGCAGATTTTTTTTCTATCTCGTAGAGGTCTTAACTAGTTATTTATGACCCTAGTAAATAAATTAGTACATTTCATTGCAATAAGACAACAAATTAACTTAAGTAATTTCCCCTGTTTACTAAGTAATTTCTTTCAAAGGTAGGATAATTAGGTATAGAAGTTTAACTTACAATATAATAGATCTTTTCTAAGATATGATCAAGTCATCTGAAGATAAATTATATATAATTAATTTATTCACCAAGGGAGAGTGTGAGACTAATAACTTAAAAAGTAATGTATGTAACTAATTGTTGAATACATTATGTTAAAACGCATTATAGCGGTGCTATAAAAGTTCTGTAAATCCATATAAAAGCTCGACAAGTAACAAGGCCCGCTCGAATTAAGAACTCTACTCTTAATCAGCTCAATTGACTAATCCATCGCCATTATCTAATTTAAAATTAGAAAACGTGACACAAAAATTAATTACGTATTCCATATGATTAAGTGGAGCTTGAATTATATAAATAATCAGAATTTGGCAGAATGTCATGAAAGTGAGTCGGACTTCCAACACGATGTATATAAAATAAAATAAAAATTACTAAGAAGCCGTTTGGAGCTAATAAGGTGAATTATGGGGATATTAAATTCTGCAAAAAGTAAATATACCACGTGTAGTAATTAGTTATGAGGTAAAATTACTTAGGTATAAAATTAGTGTATAATGTTTGATTTACAATTCGGAGAACTCCATAATTAATACACGATAGAAGTTAGTGACAAAACCTATATACTCCTTGTTTAAAAAAAGAATGACCTCCTTTTTTTTTAGTTTGTTTAAAAATAAATGATTTCTTTTTTTTCGATAATAACTTTCCACGTGGTATGTTTAAGGCCATAAAATTAAAAGACAATTTTATATATTTAACATAATTTTATTTAAAATCACATAATTTAAAGTCTTCTTTATTTTCTTATTATTTTATAAAAAATAAAATATGAAATAACTAATACTATATGAATAACAAAGCCCTATATAAAATAATATACAGTATTGATTTTCTCATAACTTATCTCTACATCAATGCTATTCTAGCATAACTCTTACCGGCAGTGGCAGAGCCACCTTAATTAAGGTCAGGGTTCATTCGAACCCTTTTCAACAAAAAAAATATATTATTTATACATAATTAAAATAATATTTATATATATAATACATGTTGAACCCCTTAGATTAGTTCGTGTATTTATTTTTTTTCCGTCAGGTTCCGGCACTAGTTACCAGCCACCAAATTAGTAAGTATATACGAAATATTTGTTGTATAGACACTAAGAAAATGGTAGACAGCAGAAACACACTAATTGAAATGATGTGAGAGTGGATGTTGAAATGGACCACTTTGTAGGGACAAAAGGAGCTTTTCTTTTTGTTGTTTTGCATGTGCTTTGTGCACATAGACGCGTTTCCACATCTATAAATAGCCTACAATATCATGCATACTCATTCAACTACAAATTCCCATGGCGAAGCTTAAAATTGTTAACATTGTTTTCTTTGTGTTATTAGGTATTGGAATATGTTCAGCCGCTCGAACGCTCCTCACTTACGATCATGTTGGTGTTGGGGGTGAAGTAGGCGCTTATGCTGGTGGTGGTGGAGGAGGTTCCGGCGGAGGTGGTGCCTATGCAGCTGGAGGACATGATGGTGGATATGCTGGAGGAGGTGGTAGTGGAAGTGGAGCTGGAGGTGGCCATGCTGGTGGTGGATATGCTGGAGGAGGTGGTGGTGGAAGTGGAGCTGGAGGTGCTCATGCTGGCGGACACGATGGTGGATATGCTTCTGGAGGTGGTGAAGGTGGTGGAGCTGGAGGTGGCCATGCTGGTGGAGGATATGCTGGAGGAGGTGGTGGTGGAAGTGGAGCTGGAGGTGCTCATGCTGGCGGAGAACATGATGGTGGATATGCTGCTGGAGGTGGTGAAGGTGGTGGTAGTGGATATGGTGGTGCAGGGTCAGCAGATGGTGGATATGCTGCTGGAGGTGGTGGAGGTAGTGGTGGTGGAGGTGGTGGTGCAGTTGCTGGAGGTGGAGCACATGGTGGCGGTGCATATGCTGGAGGTTCAGGAGGAGGTACTGGTGGCGGCTATGGTGCTGGTGGAGCACCCGGGGGTGGATATGGTGGTGGAGGTGGACATGGAGGCGGTGGTGGTAGTGCGTATGCTGGAGGAGAAGGAGGAGCCTCAGGTGGTGGATATGGTAGTGGAGGAGGAGCTGGTGGTGGTGCAGGAGGAGCACATGGAGGAGCATATGGTGGAGGCGGTGGTAGTGGTGCCGGTGGTGGTGGAGCCTATGCCGGTGGAGAGCATGCTGGTGGTTACGGAGGAGGTGCTGGAGGTGGTGAAGGTGGTGGACACGGTGGTGGCTACGCTCCTTAAGCGGTCATTCTAATCTAAAAGTATCCATCTTCTTACCTACACTATTAAAAAAATAATGTACTGAGATTGTGGTAGGAAGATGTTATATATATATTGGAAGAAAAAGAATTGTAGTTAAGTCCTGCAATCTTTTTAAGTGTAATGTGGTTTCCTTTAAAAGCAACATTAAGATATGATTGCTTGCATTTTACATATTGAAATGGTTGGCAAATATTCTCAATCTATAAGTTGCATGCATGCAATAACTAGCAATGATATCTTGGGCAAAGTAACCTTTGCAAGCACAAGAGAACTGTTGATCAAATATGTTGCAACGTATGCGTCTATCAATATCTATGAGACCAGGTCCTTAGTACGGTTATACTATACACAATAAAGTAAATGTTGAAGTAAAGATTGCACACATAACTAACTTTACGTGAAAACCTTCGTACTCAATAAAGTAAAATCACGACCTGTACGTCACAACAGGACTTTTTCAAACTACGTTTACTAATCTTCTCCAAGCAAAAGTTAAACTAATTTATAAAATGAGATTAGCCTGCTAATCTCCACCCTAAATAATATCACTATTACTTAAATGAGTCAGAGCAAATATAACATTGCTCAATATACTAATTCTAACTGATTATTATAGACTTTACTCTAAGTTATCCTTAACCTATATCTTACGGTGATTCAAACAAACTTGAAACGTATCTTTCACACGCGAAATGATTCCTATAATGTAAGCACTATTACAAGCAAACAAAATTACAGTTGTTACAAAAAGCAATAGAAGCAGTCTATCAAGTCCCTTGCTGTTTTGAAGCTTGAAAGTTTCTCTCTTTTTGAACGATGAATATTATTGTTTGCTATATACCATGAAGAATTATTACACAACGTACAAATAACCTCGTCGCTTCTGATTAGTGAAGTACTCTGCAAATTTACCAACTTCCTAACGTAGATAACTTTAACAAATGTATAGCATTTTGCCACTGAACGAATATTCATACTCTGTAGAGGACCAGATCCCTGCGTGAGGTGATCATCAAACAGCTAGAAGCATTATACTTATCAAAATATTTCCTTTTTTATTCTTCTTCTTATTTTTTTTTCTTTTAAGCATTCACTTTTTTAGGCCCCCAAATTGTTGGGACCTTAAAAATTTTAAATAGTGGATCTATGATTTATTTATTATTCCTCAATTAGAAATTATTGAAGGTTATAGAAAAAAAGGGAAGGAAAGAAAGATTATCTTTTATTTAATTGTATATATTTTAGAATTTGAATTAATCTAACCAAATCTTTATATTGATAAAAAAATATTTATAAGAAAATCTAAAGTAATACAAAGCAAACACATGCCTAATTTTTTGTCTAGCGTATGATGTTTTTTGAGCCAAGCGTCAATTAGTGATCCTAGCGTATAATGTTTTTTGAGCCTCGCATATGATGTTTTTTGAGATGAAAGAAACTAGACAACTATGTTCCAGCTTGAAGGAATTCAATAATGATAAAAACTTGGAATTTCATATATTTTTTTGAAAATACCATGCAATAGCAAGAAGACATAACAAGAATAAAGTTTTGTAACTTAATATATGTTTCCTTTTACACTAGTATTGTCACTACTGTGGTGCTCATGTGTGTAAAATAGTAACATCGATGTGTATGATCAGTTGTTATACAACAAAAACATGCTTAAATATTATATTGGTTTTTTTTTTCTTTCTTATGTTGTTGTGTTTGTTTGAATTTGTTGAATCCATGGAAAATTGGACCGATGAACACAATCTTAGGGTTCAAAACGGGGCTCTAAATTAACTTCAGCATAATAGAAGATCTAAGTGATAAAGTATCTGGTCTGTGGCTTACTAGTAATGCGAACATTGTGTCTGTGGACCAGCTGTGTGGACATGCCAAGGCAATAGAAGAAGATTCTGTACAAATTATGTTTCTATTATCTTAGATAAGAAGATGAGTATTTGGAGGACATGTTACTGCATCAAAAATAACTTTTAGTGGTAATAAATAAACATATTAATAAAGAGTACTAATTTTTTTATCGACATTAATTAAATGTCATTAGATTCAGTGTCGTTAAAAACTTTAGGGACATACACAAATAGTGTTAATTGCTGCTAAAAGTATATATTTAGCGGCAATTACGAATTGAGTAGATAGTGTAGTGTTTGTCTGAATTAGAGTGGTTGGTATTTGTCATTGTATTAGTTGTATTATTGTTTTTCTTGTTGTTGATATCAACCATAATATTGTTTTCAATACTCTATTCTAGTATGTTATAACTGATATTGTAAATTGTGTTACGATTATTGTACTATTTTGTTGAAATTGTTGCTCTCATTTGGTAGACTTAGCATTGTTTCCTTGTGACTCGCTATATTTTCTTCTTTCTATCTAGAATTGTTGCATATGAGCCGAGGGTTTATTGGAAACAACCTCTCTACCTCCATGAGGTAATGGTAAAATCAACGTATATTCTATCTTTTTCAGACCTCACTTGTGTAATTTTACTGGACATATCATTGTTGTTTATCAATATATTATTGATATTTAAATTTATATACCTGAATTTATATCTCAGTAAATTTATATAAAATATTATTTATAGATTACTTGATGTATTTTCACATGTGTGAAGCATGAACAATTTACTAGCTTTGTTTTAAAATATAATTCGTTTGATTTGTTTCTTAACTTCTCCAAGAAGTTTATTAATCGGACAACTTGGTTACTTGATTATTTTGAGGGGTCGTTTGGTGTGAGGGATAAAAATAAATTGTTTTAGAATAAAAATATAATTTAAATGCAAAATTTTTGCATCTTGTTTAATTGTCATGTCAGGAATAACTTATCTCACAATTTATATAACAGGTGATAGGATGGAATAAATTATATTATATATATGGTGAAATAAGTTATTCTAAAATAATTAATTCAGGAATAGTAATTATGAGATAATTTATTTGCAACTAAACGATCCCTCAAATTTATAACTTATTCGCAACTAAATGATCCCTCCAATTTAAATTAATCCCAAATATCTTGTTCAATCAAATATTTTAGAAAAGAAAAAACTAAACGAACATTCAAGTTTTGTGTTTAGAATATGCTTTGCGACCAAACTACCAACAGTGAAAAGTACATATTAATTTGATTCAAAATTTTTGGTTGCACCCATTCATTGAAAAAATATTTACTTTAATTTTAAAATTTGAATTGTTTGCTAGATTTCTGGCTTTGACATTATACTAGTTAAATGTGGTATATGCTTTGCGCATCACATTTTAATAAAATAAATATAAAAAATTGTATTTACGTTATATCATTAAGTCGATAAAATATAAAGTAGTTTAATATGAAATTTATATGGTAAGGGTTAAAAAAACAGTGCGAACGATATTTCGCTAAGGTGCTTTATGGTTGTGTTTATCCTTATAGGTGTGTCTCTTGTCGAGCAATAAATTATACAAACAAGAAGAATAATATTATTAAAAGTAGCATAGGAATTTTTATTTATTCAATGAATACAAGTTAAATAACATTACGGTTTAAATAATGAACAATTTGATTACCAAAATTTCAACATAGTTTAAATTCAGGAAAGATTTAGTAAGTAAAATTTTGTTCATTTCAAATTCCTACGTATTAAAAGTAAGTATTATATTTCTCAAAGATGGAAAATTTTAATATCCATAATTTTAATTTATTTCAAAGTAAATGAGTCTATTTTTATAAATGACGAGAAAAAATTCAATAAATATATATCTGACTTTGCTTGGTTCAAATTTAGAAATTAAGATATATTAGCCATTAACTAAGAAATGATTTGACTTTATTGTGAGATCCAAAAAAGGAAAAAAACCAAAATTATGAATGGTGATTATCAACCAAAACAATAGCACCTCAAGTAATATTAAACGGAGTAAAATTAAGAGAGAGAAAAAACATCAATTGATAACAAAATCCCTTATTTTCTCTCTGCATGAAAGTCAAAACTTTTTAATGATAATTGAATAACACAAATATTCATATCTATCTTTTCTTCTTATTCTTCTTCTTTAATTTGCAGAATCAAATATGAGTCTCAGTTGCTTAACCTGCAAGATATCGAGGACAGATTCAACAAACGAATTAAACGAGAAAAAATTCGATACTAATGTTGACAAAAATAATAAAGAAAAACATAAATTTAGCAGAAGATCAGTAGATCGGAGTTGGTCAGGGAATTTGGAATCTACGAGTAATGTAAAAAAAAAATTGAGTCATTCGCTTTCGATCATCCCTGAGAACAAGGTCAAAAAAGGTTCGCATCGCTCCTGTAATAGTGGTCCAGTTGAATTCCCTACTGATACACCCAAGCTAGTCAGGAGCCCAGGAATCAGAAGAGATTGGAGTTTTGAAGATCTGCAACGTCAAACAGTACGTTAAAGTTTAGGTGAATTCAAAATTTAAAATAATATGATCATAATGTCATTATCTATTTTTTTTTATATATATAATTATACGATATCATGCAGATCCAGTCTGTCTTAGATCTTCCTTTGGTTGATAATAGACAAGATATATGTTCACAGGATTAGTTATGTAACGTAACTTCTCCTTGTTGAAATTAATTTATAATATTATGTATATCTTTGATATATTTTCTCTCTATATACATTAGATACATTGCGTGTTTGATATATCCTTATGTATCCCCAAAAAAGGAGAGATATCAACATTATCTATCACTAGGTTGAAATTGTTAAAGTTTCCAGATTTTGATACTAATATTTTAGTACTATTAGCGTGAGATTTTTTTTCGTATTAATTAATTCCAGATAAAAAAGTTATATGGATAATTGAAATTATGGTTGTAATTACTTTTACAGGAGAAAATTATGTGTGGTTTAATGAGTGTATATGAATTATTGCCTCCATAATCCACAAAGTAGGTCCACCATTTGCAGAAGTCATTAATTGTTACATCATTAGTGGATAGAGCATGCCACCACCATTCTCACTTTCGGAAAATAAGAATCGATATAGTTTATTTTAATTATAATTTATAGTAAATATTTTTTTTTTATCATCTGATTAGATATATAATTAATCATTTTATATGAAAAAAACTTATTTGGATATTTATATCAAGTCAATACATGTATGTCATGTATTTTGATATAAATATTTCTAGTAAATAAACAACTATTTCGAGAGAGGAAGTAAGCTTTCACTTTCGTGAACCGATAATATTGCTAGGTTACATCATGCATGCAAATCTTTTATTTAATTCAAAAATAATATGATGAGTTCGTGAAGTTTTTGGTAACGCCTCTTTAATTTTAATTTTTCGTTCATTAATTGGCAATTAAAAATAACTAAATAAGAATGAAAAGTCGCCAACTATTTGTGCATATAAATCAAAAACTGACTGCTACAATATATTAAGCCATGTGCAACATGATGCTTATTAGTAATTTTCTATAGATATCCTAATGGCTGAGTGACTTTCCTCTTAATTACACCACAACTCCAATGGGCTAAGTCATAAAATTATAATCTTGATTTTTGGGTTAATTAATTTGTTTGGTACAATTGGTAGTGTCTTTTAATTTGTTTTTAGAGAATAAAAATTAGAACTTTTTTTTTAAAAAAAATCTTAATGTGAGGATTACCTTTCGAGTGGGGATCATGATCGAGTCTTGAGTTAAAGCCAGAATTCGGATCAGGGTTCATATGGGTGGAGGTTGAATCAGTAGAGATCAAGGTTGGGGTCATGTCTATGATTGAGGATCGGGATCAAAGTTAAGCATAGGAGTGGATCAAGGCCAGGGTCCTGATCGAGATTCGGGTCAGGGTAGAGGTTGGGTCCTAATGTAAGTTGGGATTTAGGGTTGTGGTCGGATAGGGAGTCAAATTATGATCTCGAGTCAGAATCAGGGTTAAGATATAGGGTTTGGTGTTAGGTTGGGAATCATGGTCAAGATCATAGTCGGCTTAGGGAGAGTTCTTGTCTCGAGTTGGGTTTGGGATCGAGGTCAGGATAAGGGTTTGGCTTGAGTCCTCAGGTCGAGGTCTAGATTTGGGTGGATTAGGTGGTGGTCAGGTTGAAAGAGAGTTTTTAAAAATGTTTTTTTATTTTACTTTATGAAAATAATTCATATTCTTCAAATTAGAGAAAAATGAGTCTATTCAAAAATTTATTTTTCAAAATGTTAAGTCAATCAAACAGGGGAAAATTAAAAAATATATTTTTAAAAATATTATCCCTTCATACCAAAGCATATTCTTGGAGTAGAATTTTTATTGTTACTGAATTCAATTAACACGGTCTGGTAATGATTAATTTTAAGAGATCGAAGTGAATCAAAATTATTTAACTAATATCTTATATATTCATATAAGTGAATTGCAATTCAATTTATTTCCGCTCAATTCGTCAAAGTCAAATTCAATTCAATCCAAGCATTCATTTTGCAAAGATCATTCTTTTTCCATAATAATAATAACAATATTAATAATAATAATTTTTAAAAAATGTCCCTTTAACTAAAAATCAACAATTAAGCACATAAACAAATAAATAATTGATCTAACACCTTATACCATTGAACACCCATACTTACCGTCAAAGTCAAACTTTCTTATTCTATGCAACGTGGAATCTCTTTGCTTTAGATTTGTAGCTAAATTAATTAATCAAATCTAAGCCGAGACTGGAGACAATGATTAATCAAACTAAAATATGAATTGTGATTGGCTATTCCCATCTGATCCATTTTATTTACTTAAAAATGATTTGATCAAAAAAATAATTTATTTTTATTTGATTTATATTAAATATATATTTTATTTAATTATTATTATTATTTAATTATTATTTTTCTCTTACTGTTTTTAATACTTAATAAATAAGAATAGTCAAATTAAGAATTACAAAACATTATTAATAAAATTGGTTTTAATAAATACATTTTTAGGAAAAATTAAAATTGTGTCAAGTCATTAATATGACCCAAGTTAAATAACTTTATTTGTTTGATTAAATTAAGTTTAATAAACACAAATTAAAAAAAAACATTAAAAATTGTATCAAGTCATGAAATTAAATAAAATTTATTTATTTGATGTACAGAACTTATAAATTATTATTCTTGTTCATATAATTAGATCAAAATAATACAAAAAAAATTACACCAAAAAGGAAGCTAAAACTATACCAACTACATCAAAAACTACACGAAGTCCATCAAAAACTATATTAAAACAACAGTAAAGCTAGACCAAAGGAATTCAATAAATTAAATAATATAAATGAAAAAATTAAATTAATAGAAGTAATAAAACCCTGACTTAATTTTAATATAAATAACAGCTATGAAAAATAAAGAATAATAAAATCTCACATAACAATTTAAATATGTGTTTAACAATTTCACCGTAATTCACCAATCTTTCTTCTTCTTCTTTTTTCTTTCAGCGTTTCACTCAAAAAGTCAAAATTCAACCCCGCCGTAGGCCCCTCTAACTCCACTAACCTTTTCTATCTAGTTTCACCATAATCTTTTCATACTTAATTCATTTGTTCATTGATTTTTAATTTTTTTTTGACACGTCTTAATTTGATATAAAATTTAAAATTTAAATGAAAAGTTTTTTGGTCCTTCAAATTATAAACATATCAGATATATTAGAGTAGTTATCAATTTATGATTTTAATTATATATAGGAAATAAACGAAATCTTTTTTTTTTGGGTAATTCACTTCTAAAGTCACATTTGAAGAAAAGTACGTTGGAGTTTTGTCCTTTCAATTAGAAAGTTGTAATTAAAATATTATTAAAAAGTAAATATTATTTTTAAAATAGAAATATACCAAATAAATAAAATCAGCGAAAAATCTTCTTTCGAATTTTTATTTATAAAAAACTGATATTTGATTATAAAAATTTCAATACAAAACCTTATTTACTTTTTTCATCTTCACTATATTTCTTATTTATCTTATTTTTTTATTTTATAAAAAATATAAAAAAACACAACCCTCATCTTTAACTCAAACTCAATATATTTTGAAAAGTAAAATAAATAAATTCATAATAACATACAATAGCTCGAATATTAGATCTAATTTATCATATTATTTAATTATCTGTTTTTGAAATAATACTCTTAAATTAAAATTTACAATATATTTCACATAAATTATTCAAGTTGAGTACATTAATATATTCTTTAAAAATGTATAAATACAGTCAAACACGATTTCATATTCACAGTTTTTTTTTAAAAAATTCTATTTTTATTTTCTCGGCCAAACGCGTCATTTTTCTGTAGTTTTTCATACTTCAATTTCCTTTTCATTTCTTGGTTGACCGACGAAACCCACCAACTCACCACCTCATTCCGCCGTGGTCAGCTCGCTTACTAGGGTATACTCTACGTCTTCTTTAACTCATATAAGACTCTATCTTTTGTATCTATAACTGAAGAACAAATTTGCAGTTCAACTGTTCGACGCTTTGCCCCAATTAATCACAACGTAAATTTCTTCTGCTCTTAACCCTTGTTCAATTTCAGTGAATTATCTATATCTCTGGTAAATTGGAAGTCGGGAAACCGAAAAAAGTTGAAATTTTTAGGGTTGTTTTGTTCTCTGTTTTGCTCGTTTGGACTCAAGTATTTGTAAAGTAAAAAAACTGTATGTTGTTTCTTTTTTGGAAGAGTTCGGTGATATATAATATTTGGGAAATAAATACTTTGTGGGACGAATAAAGTTGTGTTTTTGGGAATTCAGAAGTTATTTTTTTCTAACTGAAGCAGAAGTTTGTTTGGAGCTGAAGCTGGTTGGTTGATCTATGGGTGTTACTGTTTGTGGTGATAGTTCTTCAATTTCAAGTGTAAAGTTTGCTGTTATCATAATGCTGCTTCAGACCCTTTTCGGATTTGTTTTAAGTTTGGAGAGTTAAGGGTGTTATATCTTAAATTCAAAGTGTATATCTGCATAGGCAGAAGAAGGTCAATTGCAGTGATATAAGGTTTCAGTTGCAGTGTTGAGTAGGGTGTTAACGATAGTATATTTTGGAGTTTAGTCATTTTATTGAAGTGTCTGAGATGGATAATTCAAATCGGTCGTACAATAGGAATGCTGATCATTTGGGTGTGAATAAATTTGGGAAGAATATCAACAAGAGTCCTATACACCAACCTAATTTTAACAATGCAAATAGTGCTAGGCAACAACCTCAACCTCAGGTTTACAATATTAACAAGAATGATTTTCGGAGTGTTGTTCAGCAACTGACAGGTTCACCATCTCAAGAGCCTCCATCTAAACCTCCCCAGAATCCTTCTAAGCCTCCGAGTATGAGATTACAAAAGATTCGGCCACCGCCTTTGACTCCTATAAATCGTCCCCAAATTCCAATGCATCCTCCAGCACAGATCCTTGCCCCAGCTCGACCTGCTGGAGGCGTTCCTTACCAAAACAATATTGCTAGACCGCCTCCTCACTATGGTCAGCCCTCACCACCTATGTTACCTCCAACTCCTGGAGATGTTTGGACAAATACAACTGAGTCTCCGATTTCAGTTTATATGCGTTATCTTCAAAATTCAATAATAGATTCAGGGCCTAAACAAACACAATTTCAAGGACCTGGTCATTTTCAAGCACATCCAGCGTCATCTGGTTTACTTCCTAATCCTTCAATGCCACCTTTTCCATCTCCTAGAATGAATGGCCCGCCTCCTTTCCCATTGTCGCGGATGAATGGTCCTCCTCCACCTCTTTTATCTCCTAGAATGAATGGCCCGCCGCCTCTCCCATTCGCTCGGTTGAATGGTCCTCCTCCGCGTCTTCTATCTCCTAGAATGAACGGGCCACCTCTTCTCCCATCTCCTAGAATGAATGGTCCTCCTCCACCTCTTCCTTCTCCGGGAATAAATGGGCCTCCTCCTTTGCCTTCACCTACCTCTCAGTATCTTTTGCCATCGCCTACTGGCTTCTTAAACTTGTTATCTCCCCGTTCTCCTTATCCATTGCTTTCACCAGGTATGCAGCATCCTCCACCGCTGACACCAAATTTCTTCTTCTCTCCTATGGCTCAGCCTGGAGGTTTTGGCACTGGACCACAATTTCCTCCTTCCCCTGGTTATGGATTTCCGTTGTCACCTTCTGGGTTCTTCGCCATGTCAAGTCCAAGATGGAGGGGTCAATAGCACCACCACGAACAGAGCTGCTGATCTCGATGGATTCTTTGCTTCGAGTTTCGTCCAGGTGGTAGATTTCCTTCAAATTAAAGCTTTTTCACTGTGGATATGCAGTGTATACACTATACAATGTAAGAGATCCTTCTGAACGTGTTTATACTTTTTTTCTTTGTTTTTCTTAACATATATTTTGAATATTTGACTCTTTCAATGTAGAGTTCGTAGCAGATGTATCTCTGTATTTGCCTAGCCCTTATTTAGTACATTTAGCAACTCTCAACTGAACAGTTGAAAAGGTCAGGCTTGTTAGATTATAGTTAATTGTATTTTATATGTAGCTGGAAAGGTTCTTGTATTCCTTGTAATGTCAATTTTGGGATCAAATATTTTGGTTCTTTTTCCTATCATATAGATCAATTTTCAGTTTGTTGCCTTTGGGATCAATTGTTTATTTAAAGAAAATTATCTGCTTATTGTTTCATTTGTGGAGAAGTAGTCCTGGGGGTTCGACTGGCTGACTGTTTTAGTTGAAAAAATATCTATGCTGAAATCCATATGAAAAATACAATATTTGTTTGCTATATTGTAGTCTTGTATCCCTGCATTTGGTATGTTGCTATTTTATTCGCAGTGTAATATGGAGTAACAACACACTTGGTAGTTGTTACTTATTAGCAAAACATGTAAAAGAGCATGTCAATGACAAGTGTCGTTTATTTATTTATAATTAATTAATTATAGTTAACCATTTCTTACTCATTATGTCATTTGTTTCCAGTAGTGTTTGTAGCAGCATTTTGTTTGAAATTATAAAAAGGGTGATTTAAGTAAAACTTTTTATGTTTAGAAGATGAATGCCATATTTACTTTTTCGCACTTATAAAGAAAAGAGTTCAATTTCATTTATACCTTTATCTCATGTTTTAATGTCAAAGAAATATGTAATTTGATTTGTCCAGAATGTTATTTTTGATTTTCTGATTGTGTGAGTTGCACATTTTCTGGAGGGATGCTCTCTCATTTGGTTGATTGGCAGGTGAAACAGGTAGAACTATTAGGTTAACACTAAATTAATATTAGGGAAAAGAGAGGAGGGTTTGGAGGTGGAAAAGGTCAGTAGATCTGAGTTATTGTAAGTGCAGTTCCTTTCATTGAGTATACAATAATCTATTTATTCAATCAAATTATATGAACCTGGATATTCTTGTCCCGAGTCACTCTGGGATGATGCTTTTGCATGTGTCCACCTTATAAAATGGAACGGTATCCCCTAGTACACTATCTGTCTATAAGTCGAATATAGGTGCTACATGTATATGTGTATCACCATTATAGACCAGCGGAAGAACAAAAAAGGTAACTCATTTTTAATTCTGAAAATAAATGAACGATGGTGGATGATGTTTGAGGCAGATAGAGGTTAGGAACAATGTTAAGACCTAGATCATTCCACATTTGCATAAGTTGGTGAAGTACGGGCCAGGACAGTTATGTAAGGTGATCTCTCAAATTCAGATTATTGAGGTTTGTATGGACCATTTGTTTGGAAAAGTGAAAACATATGGAATAGTTTACATCCCGAAGCTGTTAAACTGTTTACAGCTCCCAAAAGCTATTTCAGAGTCGTATAAATTTATTCTGCTCGTATTGTTGGGATCTTTTGGAGGTTATCTTTTATCACTGCAATAGACTTTTACTACCTTCGATCCAATACATATTGTTTACATATGCACTACACAGCTACATGTATTATCATACGTCCACTCTCCACAGTAGTTTAAGTGTTTTTCTTTCATCTCTTCAGCATACTTGTGATACTAGTGGCAGTAATTTGCTCATGCGATTTGATACTTAACAATCTTGTTGCTGTTAACGGCGCTACCCATGTCTAGCCACTTTAAGTTTTCCGCATTGTGTTGGGTCTTGGTTTGCGGCTACAATTTGCTGCCTACATCTGTGAATGATTATCTTGTTATGTTCTCATCCAGCGGCTTTTAGTGGCTGATCTGGCTGCATCATCCAGTTAAGCTATAACCTTCTGGAAGAAAAAACCCAGTTTGATAGTATTGGATGTGCTTTTCGCTTTCTGTTGGCGGAATACTGTACCATCTAGCCAATAGAATGTATTCATTCCCATTGCATATAAAGTCAGGAGACTGGTTAGTTTACTCCTACTTGCCTTGAAATAAATTGTTTTTAGGTCTATTATTTCTATGATTCATGCACCTAGTGTTAAAAGGCGAATGCAGTATGATGACTTTTATTCATCAACTTGTTGCTAACAGCCAAACTTGTTTGCTTTGTGCTTTCCTCATTGCAAAGATACGTTTGTGTCTGCATACAGAACTGTGAGCTTAAGGGTGTGTTTGGTATGAAGGAAAATGTTTTCCATGGAGATTATTTTTCTAGAAAATGCTTTCCTGGAAAACAAGTAGATTTTGAACTTATTTTCTCATGTTTGGTTGGTGAGTAGAAAATATTTTCTGAAAATGATTTTTTGTGTTTGATTTATGAATGAAAAATATTTTTGAGGAACATCTTTTATTTTTTACTAAAGTAGAAAATAATTTATGAAATTGAAAATATTTTTTAAAAACATGGGGTAGTGTGGGGGCAGGGGGAGGGGTAGGAGTGAAAAAATAAAAATTTGAAGTTGATAGTATTTTTAAAAAGCAAAATTAATTTTTTGAGGGTGGGGGTGGGGTGGGGTGGCTGGCCCGGGGAGGGGGGGAGGTAGGAGTTTAAAAATAAAGATTTTGAAGTTGAAAATATTTTGGAAAAGCAAAATTAAATTTTTCGGAGGGGTTGGGGTTGGGGTTGGGGAGGGTGGCTGGTGGGGGGGGTCAGGGATCGGGTGAAAAAATAAAATTTTTAAATTGAAAATATTTTTTAAAAAAAATTGATTGTTTTTCTAAAAAAGAAAATGTAATTTGAAATTAGAGCAAAGCTTTGGAAAATGTTAACCTTAATTTTTGAAGGGAAGTCATTTTTCTTAATTTTGAGGAAAAATGAGTTGATTTGGAAAATTATTTTTCAAAATTTTTGCTCCAACCAAAATGAGAAAATTGAAAAACATGAGAAAATGTTTTTCTTCGTACCAAACACACTCTAAGAGTTTTATGTCCACTGGAACTCTGGAAGTTGACGGGTGATATGTTGCTTCATTCGTCAATGAAAATATGCACATAAAAAACTAAAGTACTAAGTTATTGAGGCCAAAAAAATAATTTAAGAATTTAATATTTGCGACATCGATCAGGTATTCACGATTTTAAATTCTGAAATCCCTTTGATATGTTGTAGAATTTAAAATTTATAACTACTTATTTATGGTTGGAATTGAGTAAGTGACGTTCCATTGAGCTTACTTTATACAATGCTAATATACACAATGCAATCTTACAAGTCGGGTTTGGAGAGATAGAGTAAAGTTATACTATAAGCTTTTAATTAGTTGGATTGGTCTGGTAGGAAAAAATTAAAGAACTAGTTACCGGAATCTGTTAGTAGTTGCATTGACTAGACCCTCTTAACAAAAAAGGAGCCCACACCATTTTGGGCTGACCATCATTGATGGATAAGCCAAGAAATAATCTGAGCCATTTCTTGATTGGTATATACCACATGAATAAATGTTGAAATACTGGGCAAAAAGATCTTATAGTAAGGATTTAATTAGCTGTACAATACTATTTAGGGACACTCTCATGTGGAATAGTACTACCACATTCAAATTTAAAATAAATAAGAAAGGGACCTTTCTTTCCATTGAAGCAGAAGAGGAAATGAAAGTTGATCAAAAAATTGTGAGTAGAGTGATAAGGATTTCTTTATCGTTAATCAGATGTTTTTAGTTTGAACCTTAATTACGAAAAATTAAAAAAAGAAAGAGATAAAGAGAGAATCATTCCGGAAAACTAGGTAGACCATAGAGCGAAGACAAAAGAACATGCTTGTCCACGAATAGGAATAGCTGAATGTATGTGCTTCTTTGTGGGATGAGAAGTTCATTATTGATAATTCAGACCACGAATTAGCCAATCAAAAATAGGACCAAAAAATCATATATAACTTATTTATTATTCAGCTACCAAACGATTTGAAGTAGTGGTAAACCCTTGTTGATAATTTCACTTACCAATTATGGAATTGGATAGGATAGGATAGGTGAGGGACCATTTTAATGATTTTAAACCTCATCGATCCACCAATAAATTAAAGGCATAATATATAAATGTGCTTTTTAACTTGACTTCAAAATTATATTTATGCCCTTCAATTTTGAATATGCAGATACTTAAACTTGTATAAAGTTGAACAAATAGACACACATGTCTTACATGTCATTTTTATCCTATGTGGTGTCCTAAGTGTATTGCGCCATGTAGGACTAATCTGTTTATTTATTTAAAAGTTTGATAGTTAAAATATTTGTTTGTGCATCATAAAAGTTGAAGGTGAAAGTTAAAATTTGAAACCAAGTTTAGAATCCAATATATATATATATATATCATGCCTAAATTAAAACAAGTGATATTCTTCATTTAATCCACTAATTTTAAAATATTACTTCTATCTATCTATACTATCTTATCGTCGAAAAATAAAAAAGGATACCTCCCTCTATCTATTATACTTTCCGTCTTTTCAATTAGGCAGGGCCATGAAAATTCCCAATTACTATTCGTAAATCCCAACTACAAGGCAGTCGGAAGTATTTCCTAATCGAGATGATTTTATTTAAAATATTTAAATTTAAAATTTTTAATTAAGAATAAAAAATTATTTATCACTTTATTATATTCTTTGTAAATCACTTGCTACCTGTATTATAACTTTTCCAACATATATGCTTATAGCGTAAGTTTTAAAATTATTGTTTTCATTATCTCAATTTATGTAAAATTATAAAATTAAATAATAATTTTTTTATAATTTTTTAAAAAAATTATGATAAAAATAAATTAAAATATTTGTGCGACTATAAATAATTGAAAAAATGATTCTTCGGTAAAACACTGGCAACACAATTATATATTCTATTCCTTTTTACTGTCTCATTAATGCATAAACATGATTCTTAATTTGATTTCAGCGAACAACCATGTCATTCAATTTTGAATGTGTTCTACATGACATAATACACGTAGGACGCACGTATGACACAAAATTGTCATGTAGGACGAATGTATTTATTTGCTCAAAGTGTCTAATTATGCACTTTCAAAATTAAAGGTCATAATTATCAATTGACGTGAAGATAAGGATCATGATTATACATTTTGCTTTTACTGACCAAGTTCGTGTTCTTGAAAACTAAGATACTAATAATCTATTAAATATTCTTCAAGCATATGAATGTTAAAATTAAAGACTTGCCAAATTAATAAAGAGACAATTTTTTTTTTAAAAAAAAAGTAAGATCGACAATTTTGATATA